TTGAGAACAAGATTCAATCTTTATTGTATAGATATAATCTTTATGAATTTAAACCGAATATTACTTGGTTAATTAGCAAACTAAAGGACCCCATAGAAATAACAGTATTGCCACAGCATCCTGGATTGTTGGGGGTGGGGTGGGCGAGGGCTTTTATGTTTGCTCAAGTTTTGATTTTTCTGTTTATTAGTTGCAAATTGGAGGAATAAAATGGCTGAATAGTGCAATGGTGAAGGGAGGAATTTCGCTAAGGGTGTTGATTTTGAGCTTATGCAACTTATCAGGTTCTTGATAAATTATTTATATATATTAAGTAGATTTTTAAACAGAAGTACATGGTTTGAGTCAAAACTATTGGGTTCTGCCGAATCTGTAGGCTAGAAGATCTAGCTCCGCCCCTATGTTGAACATTTAATATATGTGTAAGAAGTAAGAGTTGACCTATATATGCTGTATAGTTTTTCGGGAAAAAGGTGTCCAACTGAACTGACCACCCTTTGGTGTACATAGCTATGCCCCTGCGGATATATTGTATTCGGTGTAGAGGAGTTATATAGAAGGGGCCAAATTGTTTAGGATTGAGGCTAAGTTTATTAATTGATTGATAGGTGAAAATAGTCAGTGATATGTGTGGAGATTGAATTAATAAAAAATTATTGTTATTCAGAATTTGTGAATTTTACCCTCAATGCTTTTAATGTATATGGAGTGGAAGATATAGTATTATTCTGCTTCTTGTGCTTGTTAGGTCTTTGTTTTTTTACTTAGTTAAAATGGTGCTTGTTCACTACTATGTGTTTATTTTCATAGAAGTTTGTACTATGGACCTTCTTTGGTTGGTGGGTTGTTCTTGGTGCTAGAGTTGAAGATGGAAACTAGTGGTCGCGGAGGTGGTTTTAATTGGGTGGTAACTTAATGAGTAAGAGGTTCAAATGATTGTGCTAGGTGCCGGATGAGATGGTGAAAGAACATTCTAATTATATGCAAGATACTCACCCTCATGACAAACTATGATCTATATCGGCATTTTCCGGTATAGCTCTCTTTTATATAAATTAATAAATAAATAGCTCTATATCTTTATTATTATTTCATTTCCTCTCTCTTAAATAGCTGTGTCCTGTCTTAAAACCGTAAACATCGGAATAAACACATGGGATTATGAGTAAGAGAATCTAAGGGTAAGATGATGTGAGACTGTTAGAAGTATGAGTAATTCATGGCTCTGACCAAAGCATCTTTTGGTTTTGGTTGCTTATTACAAGTGTAAGTGTTCCTCGGAATGACTGCGTGTAAAGGGCACGTAGGCAGTGAATTGGGTTGAGGATTGCTTAAAATGGCAGATCATCTGAAAGGTAGTGGGTTGTAAATTGTGGTTGGTACGGTTCTGTGGAAATGCATATAACACCATATTCAGCTTTTCTCCATTTTTATTTGAACACGATTGAAGGTTACAACAGAAGGCATAACTCCTTAGATTCTTATTTATTGCATCTAAAAGATTGATATGTCATTAGTGGTAGAAATTTCAGAGTTCCTTCCTGATATTCTCACTGCTTCGAACCACTTTTGCAATCTCGTTCCCGGTAAAGTGAAATTTTCTGTCCATTGGTGGTCTTGCACTGACCCAACTTTCTTAGGAGTGAAGCACGGTATTAGATACTCTTCTGGTGATTTTGCACATTGTTTCTTGTTAATTCCTGACAAGTCACAGAAAAGTAAATGTGTTTAGCTTTCCCCTTTTTCGATGTTATATGTTATCTTGGCTGCTGCCTGCTGCTACATTAACAGGATATTTCATGTTTTAGCAGTTCTGGCAATACTCAATTTAATTGCTAACTATTGTCATATACTTATGTCTCAATTGTTGTTCATATACCTAAGTTTGTTTTAACAATTGCAGGATATTTCATATAGCTTGTCAGAAATGGCTTCATTCAAGGCATTTTTGAACAGCCCTGTTGGCCCTAAGACAACTCATTTTTGGGGTCCTGTAGCCAACTGGGGATTTGTCATTGCTGTATGCCTATCTATTACAAGATTTACATTATGTTATTCACTTCTAGTTAACTCTTTTGGCTGAGTTTCATTGATGGTACGTTGTAGGGACTGGTCGACACACAAAAACCACCAGAGATGATATCAGGCAACATGACCTCAGGTAGAAAATGTGTACTTAAATGAACGTTGAGTCGTTGACTTGAAATGATATATGGCCACCCTCATCCTTCTTTTCCTTCTGGGTATTGCAGCAATGTGTGTTTATTCTGCGTTATTCATGAGATTTGCATGGATGGTTCAGCCTCGGAATTATCTTCTTCTGGCATGCCATGCCTCAAATGAGTCAGTGCAACTCTATCAACTATCACGTTGGGCAAAGAGTCAAGGGTAAGTGATCAATAAAATAATACTTTTCCCGTTTCATTTTATTGACTTAGTTTGGCTGGCACGGAGTTTAAGAAAGTAAATGAGACTTGAATCTTGTAGTCTTAAACTAAAGATGTGTATTGTGTAGCAAAATGTCCTTTGAATTTCATACTTTTAGTCTTAAACATTGCCATGTAGCATGTTGTAATTGAAAAGTTGCACTACATAAATTGACAATCTTTTTGAAACACATAAATTGAGATTTTTATGAGATAGAGGGAGTACTAGCTAGGGAAAAAAGTGAGAGAAAGGAAGAAGAAAACATACATACAGCCAATGGACCCTTAGGAGAGATAAGGAAGGTATTAAGAAAAGGAATCCTGTCTTTGACGATCCAGTTTTAGCTAGCAAGTGTGTAGACTCATACTTTGATGACTCCCTAGGGTGTCAAATATCTACTAGGGGAAAGGGTTGATATGGATTTGTGCTTTAGGTAACCTGCACTACTAGAAAATAACTATTTTCCCATTGAAATTTCCTACTGATAAATGTTAAGTAGCTATTCCCACAAATATTTTGATTGAATTAGTGAGAAAAGAAAAAATAGTAGTGTTTTCACACCGAAAAATTAGGAAGCTTCTCAGTGTTTCAATGAGAATCTGTTTCTTACACGTGTTTTCCCCGTGAGCTAGTTTGGTGGGAAATTCATGTTCTATAACACAAATTTTCCATTGATTCATGGTGGGAAAAACCTCTGTTTCTAGTTGTGCCCTCTCATCGTCTACGTCTTTATTCTCCGGTACCCCTACTCCTGAAAGAGTCCCATAGTCCATTGTCAAACGACACTGGATTAAGAGGGAAGGGGAAATATTGATCGTATGGTATTATATTGGATATTATGCCACGATTACTTCTTTACCGCTGATAATGATTACTACATTGTCTGATTGGGATTTAAAGAGGAGGTGCTGAATATATAACTAATGTGGTATGTTGAAGTAGGGAAAAAGGGATACGCTGAAAGAATGTTTACATATCTGATTTTTTCCCATGGCACTTGCACCATTTGGCAGTAGAGTTCTAGACGACATGCACACAATTTTAGTTTTCTTTCAAAGATGCCGAAAACAGGTGGTGTGGCTAGTTGTTATAGCTTTATCTATGACTTGAGAATTTGAGACTGCCTACTTAAACATTCTTGCGAACCTAGATAGTTTTTTTTTTTTTTGATAACTCGCGGTGTTGGGGCAATCTAGCGCACAATTAGGCTAATTCCATAGGGTACCTGCTATTTATCACCAACACTGGTACCGAATAACTCTCTTCACTAACACTTAGATAGATGAGAAGAAATCAACAAGTGTTTCTTGTGAACCTAGATAATCCGAGGATTTTATTGTGCTTTCGAATCTTCTGCTTGCAATTACACTCTAATAAAAATTTTGCTACATGTGCTTTTCATCTGATGTTTCTGCTTTCTCCTCTTTTCCCTGCAGATATTTGCAACAGAATGCAGCCAAAGCAGAGTGATCTAGTGTTCTTTCTTGTTTATTTTTGGACAAATTTGCTTGGCATTTCTGAATGCTTTCATCAATTGTTGCCAAAATGTTTATAAAGAGGCATTAAACTTTTGCAGTTTGAATGACTCTACGTTAATAAGCCAAGAAAAAAGTAATGATTTTTGGAATCGGTTGAGAAATATCTGCTGATGCAAAATTTACGATAATAGTGACTTGAAGTGTAATTGGTAGAGTTGTTATCATGTGATCAGGAAGAAATAACCTTTTGCAGAAATACAGGATAAGACTGTATACAATAAACCTTTGTGTTGGTCTGGTCTATTTATGGACCTTGCGCATAGCTGGAGCTTATACTGCATCGTCCTGTCTCTTTTAGCGACATAAATATTAAGCTCGATTAAATTATATTAAGAGCGGTGTCGATAAATAAATAAGTATCAGGTGAGATGAAAACATATCATATCATATTTGTATCTCGTATAATAAAAATTAACTAAGCTAAGTCCGAACAGACACTACCAATATTTTGTTTTTCCATTTGAGCTATTGCATATATATAATACCAAAACGTTTCTCTATTCTAGTTCTTTAATTTGTATTGTTGCTAATACATAAATGTTTTTTCTATCTAGTTTTGTAATTTGCATTGCCCCTATAACAAAACCATTTTTTCGTTCTATTCTCGGAGTAGTAACTCAAATCCTTGTCAAAATTGAGAGAGTTATAATTCATACAATTTGTTTGGATGGTTGTTACTTGTTATTTCAAAGGTACTGTATTGTATTGTTTTAGTGAATACAAAGTTTGGAAAGATTGTATCGTTCTTCATTGTTACATATTGTCACTTGAAGGATAAACCACCAAGAAATGTAAGATACAGAATATAGTTACTATAAAAAAAGGTAAGGTAATAACTAATTAGATTATTCGTCACATAAAATGAGGCAGGGTCTGTTTGACAAACTTGTAGCTGATGGACTCTTATAGAGTCCTTAATTAACAAGAGTCCTAAATTTGTTACACAACCTATGTAAATACAAAATACATATCCTCAAGTAAAATCCATAAAGAATAAAATTCTGACTTCACCTCTGTTTGTTCTTCCCTATACCTATGGCGATATGGGAAGAATTGCCTGTCGATCTCCTTGTTAAGATAGCGAATCGCGTTAAAGTGATGGAAGATTTCATTGCTTTACGTGCTGTTTGTACCTCGTGGCGAGTTTCTATCACTAAGGATGACATGTTTTTGCCTCAAGTTCCATTGCTTATGCTGAATACTACCAAAGATAACAAATATCACAAATATCGAGAATTTTACTCTTTATCCAAGAAGAAAGTTGTACGAGTATTTCTCCCCGAAGCTAGATGTGGAGATTGTGTGTCATCGGAGGGATGGCTTTGTACCATGTCATGCTACAGAAAAAAGATGAACTTGTTGCACCCTTTCTCCCGTACCCAAATTCAACTTCCTCCACTAATATCATTGGTGGTTTCACTTGGTGTGAAAATAATGTCTATTGGAGGGGAGTCACTTATCCAAAAAGTTGCCTTATCTGCCAATCCTTCTATTACATCAGATTACGTATTGATGGTTTCTGTTCTTATAGACCATGATAATTATTTGGCTTTTTGGAGATCAGGAGACCGCAAGTGGAGTCGTAGTAATATTAATACAACTATTCATACATGGGGTAAAGCCACTAGTATCATTTACTATAATGGCCAATTTTATTGTGTCACTTGTTATGGCCAACTTTGGGTTTTTGACATTGTTATGGAGTCAAAATCAATTCATGCTAAGCCACGCTTTGTTGCCAGGGTGGATGGTAATATTTATCCAAATAAACAGTATTACAGACTAGTCAAAACATCCAATGCATTATTAATCGTTACCAAGTCTACGCACTTGAGATATAAAGTGTCCGAATTAGATACATTCACAGGTAGATTGAACAACATAACCAACTTGGGAGATTCATCAATTTTCTTGAGCAATGATGGAGGTAGTATTATTAATTGCTCTGGATTTCGAGGAGTAGTCAAGGCTAATCACATATATTTTACTGATATGTGGACATACAATATTGAAGATGAAAAAATTGAATATTTTCATCCTGGACCAAGTTCTATTTGTCCGCTAACTTGGGTTACACCATCATTCCAACACTGCCATGTGACTCGGAGGGGTTGTTGTCTCTGAGTTGTTCAAATTGTTATTCTAAAGTCTAATTGAGCTATTTAATTTTATTTCCCTTCATTGGAATAAAATGTTGTTGTATATAATCAATTCTAATGTGTGTTATGCAGCATATGTTTTTCATCTTATAAAATGTGGCCAAAGCAGAGTGTTTTTGTGTTCTTTCTTGTTTGTGACGAGCAAAATAAATATATTTACTATCAACATTTACCCCTATATTTGGATGTTGTTCCTCGTTGGAAGAATCGTAACATTTAATTCGCTGTATTTATAAGATTATGAGTTCATCCATACTATAATTATTTGCAAATTTAATGAATATTTACATATACTATGTTCAGCCTGGGTTGATATGACCCCGGACCCCGTGCTACTATGATTCATCGACCTCTAAGGCGCTTTCTTGTGGAGATGGGAACCATGTATATATTTTATGAAATTTATTGATTACCTACAAATTTTTAATTTAAAATTCTCTAACTTAAAGACATTAGAATTTTAAATTCATAAATTTCAAATATTGACTATGCCTATAGTAAGTCTAGGAGAATCTATAGGTAAATAGACATGACGTGTATATATATAACACATACGCATCAAACATTGTTGATCATGTCTTTTGCTTAAACTATATATATATATATATTTATTTTAACAAGTTTAAAGCACGACAAAGTGTATATTTTTAATCAAGTTCAAGTCTATCATCACAAAAAAGCCACGAGTTAACATGTTGGCTAAAATAATGTGTTTATTGACATAAAGTACGATCACTCCTCCAATCAGATTTTTTTTTTCAAGTTTTAAATTCAGAAATCACATGATTATATAACCAAAAGAAAACAACAACTTTCTATAATGAAAACTGTTGAATTTTCAGCTTAATTTCATTTATAGGATATTTCTATCTTTCTTACATATTGTAAGGGGTACCTTCGGTGGGGTGGGGGGTTGAGAGGGTGGGTGTTCTAATAAGGAGTCATGAAAACAAAAGGCCCAACGAAAGTTGGGCCCAAACATCAAGATAGAAAAGTTAAATGGGCTTTCAGAAACCCCAAACTTAAACTCTAGAATCATTTCTCGGGTTTTGGGCCACCCGACCCGAAACAGACTTTTCAGTCATAACCATTTCTCCTTTAGCCTCTCTTGCTGCCATCTGTCTCTTAGTGGACTTGTAAAATGCAGCATAAATCAGCAATTGGGCCAGCCCAAGAAGGGTTCCCATTGAATTAGGTGCCTAAAAGGAAGAAGAAAAAAAAAACTTATATACACCGATCGTATACAAATATTTTGCACTATCAGTGTATTTTAACATGTCGTATCATATTGTTATGTTAGTAGATAGTACGAATTGATTAATCGGAAAGTTTAGAAGTAGGACACAATACTTTTCATTTTCTTATTAATTCTTGGGACAAATAATGATATTTGTTAGCTTAATTAGATAAATTACAAACCAATATAATTTTGATTTGGTGGTTAAGTTAGAACTATCATACTAAAATTACCAAAGATTCAAATCAATCAAAATAAAAGTTCCTATTTACTTTTTCTTTTTCTTTTAGAATGGTTGTTGATAAACGTACAAAAACATAAACATAAATAGAGTATAAAATAGTTGTCACAAAAAAGATGTCATATCATATATGCCACAAAATAGAAGACATTATGTATATGATTTAATAATTACTTCTCCCTCCGTTTCAAAAAGAATGACCCTTCCTTTTTAGTCTGATTCAAAAAGAATGGCCCCTTTCCTTTTTTGGCAACATTTTAACTTTAATTTTCCACGTGGCATGTTTAAGGTCATAAGATTAAAGGACAATTTTGTACATTTGACATAACTTTAATTTAGGACCACAAGATTCAAAAGTTTTCTTTATTTTCTTAAACTCCGTGCCAAGTCAAACTAGGTCATTCTTTTTGAAACGGAGGGAGTATTTATTATTATCATTTCCATTTAATCCTAGATTATATAGAGTTAATATAATTTAATTTATAAGACTAATTTTATCTCATTAAAGTCACTGAATTATGTGTTAGTTATCTAGACAAAATAATTCGTCAACAAGTCAAATTTGTCAGCACCAAAAAATGACATCATCAATTATTGCAAGTGTATCTCTACTCTAAAAAAATTATTTTTTTTAAATATAAAGTTAAATAAAACTAATTTGTATTATACTTACAAGAATGTAGGCATCAAAACGGATGAGGGCGTAAGAAGTCCAACTCACACCATTGAGAAATGAGAAAAGTGAAAGGAAGAAAGGCATGTACTCCACACTTTTGGTCTTGATCACCAGTTTCTGCAATTAAATACAATATAAACTTCAGTTTTAAAATGACATTTTCATGATTCCCTTTTTTTTTTAAAAAAAATCATTTTCTTTCTTAACCAACAAGTGGCAAAATCAAGATGTACACAAATTTAATAACCTTTTATATACACACATCATAATTTTTTAGCCTCAATTAACCATCCTTCGCCACTAATAGCGTTCGCAGGATTTTTTGTAAAAGAGTGACAACATCTTAAAAGATGAACAATTGAATAAAAATCATTAATAATACCAAATGATGTCTATATATATATACACATATCTAATAGAAGAATTCGATCAGAGACCAAGCCGGGCCGGGCTTGGTGGTGGTGCTTGGCCAAGCCTGGTCGGGCTGGGTCCTATGATCAAGCTTATTTTTACTCAATATGGACCATTTTACATATATACTTCCTCAAGCAGGAGAAAACTCGAAACATGGGAGATGTAAAAAAAGGTGAAAGATATTTACCATGACGGACAAAGGAGCAGCATACATCATAATGTTGCCCACCATGCAAATGCTACCAACAATGGCTGCCCTTTTCTTGGGTTCATGGACAAAAGTTAGAACAACAAAGCCAAGTGCAACAACAAAAATAATCTCAACGATGACGATTATAATAACTTTCATCCTTTGCTTACGATCCGAGTACAATAAAAACAGTGTAAGGTACACGATCTCGATGCCTAGACCGGTCCCGTTAATAGTTATAACTAAAAGACTGTTAGGTGTGACCCATGGGAGACCGTACATCACCCAAAGCCCACAATTGATAAATGTGGCTAGGTATGGAATTGGAGAAAATTGCTCCACAGACTTGCTTTTCCATATACGAACGAAAGTCGTCCTGTAAATAAAAAAAATTGAGATCACAAGTTTTAAAAGTTTTTTTTCTTTTTAAAAGTCAAATCAATCAAATACCTTAATCTAAAATGAAACAAAAAGTAAATGCTATAAATAAATGAGTTACATTATATACATCGATGATCTAATAGTGTAAAAAGTTCTTTACAAGAGCAGTGCATAAAAATAAACTCTTTGTGCTTTAAAAGCTTTTTTATTAGAGTAAATAAAGGAAAGTTAATTAAAGGAAAAAACATGAGAATTGAAGCTTACAAGGGTGACAAGAACAAGATGAGTGCAATGATATTCCCTGGAAAAAAAAAAACAGAAAATCAGTTTTTTCATAAATAAAATAAAATTGAAGGTTATAATTGATCATGAGCTATTTTTCTCTATATATGTTTTTATTGAGTGTGTAGGGACGGAGCTAGATGAGCGAAAGGGGTTTATTCAAATCTCTTTCATAGAAAAAAATTACATCATATATATAAAATTGAAAGAATAATCTGTATATACAGTAGATATGATGAATCACGGAATAAAATTTTAGCTCCGTCACAGAGTGTGTATGTTTTCTAGAGACAAAAAAGTACTAAGAACTAACCAATAACACCAACAGCAAACCTAGCATTATCCCTATTAAGAAGCATAGCTATGAAGAAAAACAGAAGAGAAAAAATTCAAGAAATTTTTTCTTGATTTTTTTTTTAACTTGTGGAGTGAGTGTGTGAATCAAAGAATGAAGATGGATAGCCTTATAAAAGGGTGAAGGGGAAGGGGTTGATTTTTGGTTTGTCCAAAAAAAAAATGAAAAAATCAAAGCATGCAAAGTTATTTGATTGGTTAATAAATACAAGATAATTTTTTTTAAAAAGTCAACAAAAGAAATAAATGAAAATAAAATTGTTTCAATTTACATGTTATATATATATTTATTTTAATTTCGAATAAATATTATACTTTTTTCGTTAAAAATTAATGTCATTTTACGCTTAATAAATGATTTGTAATCATATAAATAACTATAATTTATTTTAAATCATAAATTTTGAGATTCTTTCTTCTTTTCTTTCTTTTTTTAATTTTGTGATCAGTCAAACATATCATATTTTTTCCGTCCTAAAATATTTGTTATTTTATTATTTTATGAGAATCAAACTACACAATATTTGACCAACATCTTAAGATATCATTTTTATCATATTAATGTGAAAAAAATCTACAATTCATTAATTTTTGAATATATAAATTATAATTTTTAAATAATATATTAATTTATTCTAATAAAACTTCAAAAACTAGTTAGGTTTATTAAATGAAGGTTAAATGAAGAGAGAAGAACAATATAGGCACTCCATTCAAGAATTTTCAGCAAATATTTTTTTGAAAAATAGAGCGAATTAATTATTTTTGCATGGATTTTACTTTGCAGCTTACACTGAATTCATAGCTAAGCTTATCCATATTATCCTTATCCATTTGAGTCTGGTAGGAGTTAGCATTATGAGTAATTCTTGAATGGGGTGCAATAATTTAAACAAATAAAGTCTTATTTAATTAATAAATTTTATTATTAAATATTTTTAATAAGTATTTTAAAAGCTTAAATTGAAAATAAAAAAGAATGGATGGACTAGTAACTTTTATTTTATTTTAGCACAATTACTACTCACTCCATCTTATATTACTTGTCAACATTATTAAAAAGTGTGTCCTCCATCTTATATTACTTGTCAACATTATTAAAAAGTGTGTCCTCCATCTTATATTACTTGTCAACATTATTAAAAAGTGTGTCCTCCATCTTATATTACTTGTCAACATTATTAAAAAGTGCGTCTCAAAATACTTACTCTATAAGTTTACAAAATTAAAATAAAATCAATTATTTTTCTAAAGAGTGTTAAGGGTAATTAGTACAAAATATTTTCTGGTAGTAATTTTTTAAAGGCGTATAAAAGAGAAATATGATTGTTAAGGGTAATTAGTATAAAGCATTCACTACATCAAAAATGATTTTTTGTGACAATTAATTAATAATTATCGTTAATTATATGTATTTTTAGCGGCAATTAGCACTCTTTGTATGTGCCCCTAAAGGCTTTAGTGACATTGGATAATCCAATGACACTTAACTAATATCGGTAAAGACTTTAGCACTCTTTATTAATGTGTCTATTTATTGCCGCTAAAAGTTATTTTTGTTGTAGTGATTTTTTGTTCGTGATTTTTAAGAGCGTGTAAAAGAGAAACGTGATCATCGACAATTTAACTTATCTTATTTTCTAAATTACTAATTAATCTCACTTGTATAAATGAATATATTTTAATTATATGTTAGTGATATATTTTTATAATTATTTAATTATTAGGTGATTTATTATAAAAATATCTGACAGAGGGGTCCATGGAATTTTTTCGAGCAGACAACGTTGTAATGGAAATTTCAGGACTTTATGTAGTGTTTGGTTTGTCAAGGAAAATTGAGAATATTGAATTGTTGCCCTTGGTAACTGCTCACTCATGTTAATAATGTGAAATATATAATTGGAATTATATGTGAAGTAAAAAAATAAAAAATGAAAAAGTTGAAATATTAGTAATTTTTAAAATGTGGTAGGCATCATGTGTTGAAAGTCATTGACATGACGTATTTTCTTTTCCCTTTTGCACTATTTGTTTTTACTTAATCATTCTATAGTTATAATTAATTGATCCAACTAATTCACATTTATATCATATACTAAAAATTATTAAGGCGTGAAGTGTTTTTTATCATAATTTTTTTCTTTTTCGAGACTCAAATCCTACACAAATTGCATTGATACGCCATAACTTAAGGTGTTCGATATTTTTTATGATATTCAGTAGATGAACATTACTTGTATTGAACGCGAATCACTTAAAATCTATGTACAAATGACATAAGCATATATAAAAATATAGTTTTATTTTCTACTTAATAGTGTTTGTTATTTTGAATACACTTATAAAAAGAACTAAAACTTAATTATACTATTTCAAGCACAGACAACAAAAATGAACCATAAATTAAAAAAGAGGGGGAACAATCTCACTAAGAGAATTTGGAATAATTTTTTTCTTCAAAAAAAGGGTAGTCAATCAACTGATCTTCTTAATTTTGCGAAATTTTGAAATTATTTCAGAAATTAGATTATATTATACAAATATTGTGTTTGACTATTGACCAAAATCTATCAGATAGTTTTAAAAAATTCAGAAATTAGATTATACAAGAATGGTATTTGACTTTGGACCAAAATTTCATCGTTTAAATTTTTTCAAGAATTCAAATTTGATTATATGACTAGGTCGGATCAATACATATGAGTGAAATAATTGTATTACGTTGACTTAATATTTGGAATAATTCGAGGCGGAGCTAGGTGGGGGTTCGTGGGTTCGGACGAACCCAATAGTTTTTTCGTAGACCCTGTATTTATACTAAAAATTAAATAAATATATATATGTTTATTAACTTGTGAATCCCTAATAAAATTAATGGACAATTTAGTGGTAAGAAAGGGACCGTGGAAATGCTTTTCATGCTTGAGTTGTGGGTTCAAATTCCCCGCCCCCCTCCCCCAAATTCTTAGCCCTAGCTTCGCCTCTGAGACTAATCATACACTGGTATACAAATTTTATAAATTCACATCTAGTCTAATCAATCATTAGTTTTATAACGTCTCATTTAATCAAATAGTCAATCATTCATTTTTAGAGACATTTTTAACTTAAAATATCACGTAGGAAACATTTTTGGTTAAATAGGTAGAAGTTTGGGATAGTTTTAAGGGAAAAGATAACTTTGAGTGCATTTTTATCCAATAAATAAAAGGAGAGTAGTTTTTAGCCAAATTCAATAGGTTTAGGGGTATTTTAAGATTTATTCAATACGTGAAAGGAGGATATTTAACTATTTTTTTCTACTGTTGTAACCATTTAATCGAACAAGGACTAATAAATCCTTAATTAGCAATGTTCTACTAATCACCAAACACTAATTAAATTCTTATTATTATGTCATTAATTACTTCATTGACCTTTTGAGCAATGTATAACGTTTTTTTAATTTTTTTTTTTTTGTTTTACTTGGTGACAATATATATAACGTTTGCAAATGTGTAACTGTAAACCAAAAAATTATGACTAAAAATAGTGTAGGCAGAACAGAAAGTAGGAGACAACAAGACAAAAATAAGTAATTATTTTATTAAGTAATAATATAAGGACAAATTTAACCAGTCATTGTGAAGTTATTATAAGTTCGTTGAGACATTAAGGAGTTTGCTTCAACATGTTTTTTGAAACTCAAATGCTTAGGCATTACAATTCATGTCACAAAATATACTTAGTATCGTTAGCGTCAGATTCAAAATTTAAAATATATGAAAAAAATTATAATTTCTGATTAAATAATTATATAAGGATGTTTAATTAGGACTAAATTTATCTTTATTAGACAAGAATAGTTTAGTAAATTATTTATTATTACTTGTATTTATTAATTTTTTCTAATGGGCATAAAAAATGCCAAAATGACACTTAAAATGAGACGGAGGGAGTATTCACGTTAAATGGTTAACCCCTTAATTTCATTCGAAAACATAAACCTTTATTATTGTATTATTAAATGGACAACTTTTATCTATTTAGTTCGTCATTCTTTTTTTATTTATTCATTATGACTCGAGAGTTATTGATCGCTCAACTAAACTCAGCTTTGCCTCATACTAGTTATATTTATAGACATAATCATTTAATTTATCTATAAAATTTCATTGATGTTCATTAGTTATTTACAATCAACTAATCGAAACCACCTCTTAAAACTTTCAAGAACATCCAAATTCAGTTGGATAAATATTCAATGCATTTGCGTAAACATTTTTGATACTAAGAGAGTGACAAAAAATAAGTACATACTTTAAGTACTTAGAGAAATCCAACTCAACTGTCTTCATTTCTCTGACAAAAATAATAAATTCTAATTAACTTGTTAGTTATGAAGTGTGTAGTTGGTGAAATTAATTAAATTAATTTTTCTTAATGCGTTCCTTCACTTTTAATAAAAAATTTAAGCACAAGTCTTTCAAAATAAATAAATTTGTTGTAGGAATGCTTCTGTTTATAATGATGTTTAATGACACATGACTGAATTAGTCGAGTGAGTAGAAATCGAATACCAAATAAATAAAAGTGCATAGAAGGAAAATGAAAAAAGGAAAATTGTATGAAATAGTAAACTATTAATTCAAATTAAATGTTATAGCCATAGTTTCTTTTATTTATAATTCGCAGCAAACATTTCGTGTTTTTGCCATCTGACGGGACCCATTCGGTATACAAACCCATTCGGTATACTTACAAATTTTTAGTTTATTTATACAAATTCAATTTGTTGTTTGTATATATTACTCATTCGGTATACAATTGTTTGTATATATTATCCATTCGGTATACAATTACTATTTTTTAGTTTGTTTATACAAATTCAATTTGTTGTTTGTATACCGAAATATATAAATACCGAATTCAATTTGTTGTTATTTTTTAGTTTGTTTTATACAAATTAAATTTGTTGTTTGTATACCGAAATATACAAATACCGAATTTAATTTGTTATTTGTATACCGAAATATACAAATACCAAAATATATGTATATGTATATCGAAATA